AGTCTGACTTCTTGGCCGTTTGTCCTGTCTTGCCAGGTTCTCCCGGATGTATGGGCTCCACTCTCAAAATTTCATCCACAACTATCACTCTGTCCTCTCATTCCATTGCTATTTTTTTTTTTTTGGGTTGGGCAATGGGGTTAAGTGGCTTGCCCAGGGTCACACAGCTAGTAAGTTTTGTGTGTCTGAGGACGCATTTGAACTCAGGTCCTCCTGAATCCAGGGCCGGTGCTCTATCCACTGTGCCACCTAGCTGCCCCTCTATTGCTAATTTTTGAGGTCCAAGTATCTATATGTTGGGTATTTCCATTTTGATGTTCTAGTTCAAGGTGTTAAAAATCTCCATCACTTCTCCCATATGGCCTTTCTGATGACCCTATGTAAATGACACCATTCTTCCTGCCATTCATGTTTACAAGTTAGCATCAACTTTGTTTCTTCCTTATCTTCTTTTAGTCTATTTATTTATTTAGTCATTTATTCTGTTGGTTGTTCTTTACAATGCCTCTCAAATCCCCATTTCCTTCTTTATTGCTACTGTTTCTGCTTTGGGTCTGGCCTTTATTACTCTATTCCTCAACTACTGAAACCGCCTCTTACACAGTCTCCTTGTTTCCAATCTCGGTCCTCTTCTAATCCTCCACAAAACCACCAGATAAATGATCTGAAAACATCATTCCTTTCCCTGCTCAAGCCCCTTGCTTGGCTCTTTATTGCTGCTATGGAATAAAAGCTGAACTTCGGTGCTGGGCCCTAAATAATCTGGAGCCTGCCTCTACTTTACTTTCCACTTCACTCTGCTTCCAAATCACCACTATCAACTGTCTAATCTATCAAGTACGTGTGGATCACTTATCATATGTCCAGCACAGTGCACTGAAAAACTTAGAAAAGATGATCCCTGCCCTCAGAGAGTACAAAATGTAAACAGGGAGACCAGAATCACATACAAAGCAATAGCAAATTATTCAAGCCAGTATATAACTCTGTACTTATTTGTGAAGTATATTTTATAACAGCTATATTCAGAAGACACTAAGATAAATGAGAGCTAGAATTGAACGGAAATTCCCCTTCATGATCCCCAAACACCACATGGTTTTTTTTGGCTTTAAGCCCCAAATCTGGTTGACTCCTGCCATTTGCCTCCTTTACTTTTCTTTTTTTTTTCTTTTGGTGAGGCAATTGGGGTTAAGTGACTTGCCCACAGTCACACAGGTAGTGAGTGTTATGTGTCTGAGTCCGGATTGGAACTCAGGTCCTCCTGACTCTAGGGCTGGTGCTCTATCCACTGCGCCACCTAACTGCCTCCCTCCTTTACTTTTCACTGGGTGCTACAGGGAGGTGAAGGAAATCACTTAACTGTGCTGAGTGGGCTCACCACAGATTTATGCAGTCTAATATCACTTGGGCCCTCACTACAGGAGGGGATGCATTTTTCCTATTCAATTCTCTCTTCCATGCCCATAGAAGCTACTCTAGATCTTTTCTCCTTGAGGATTCAACCACTTCAGAAACCCTCGGGTAAGGTCTTGGCCTCCTACTTCACAAAGAAAATGAAGAGCTTGCCCTTCTCCCCTCCTTTACTCTTGTCTCAGACTAACAGGGAGGTCTTCTCTTTGCTGAGTACAACCCATTGACACATGCCTTTGATCTTATTCTTTCTAGGTTTCTCCAGCAAACTGTCCCTACTATCTTTTCTACTTTCTATCTATTGGCTCCTTCCATGTTGCTAATGAAAATGTACATGTTTTCTCCCATCCTTAAAAAATCCTGATCTGTGTCTCACATCCCCATTAGCTATCATCCTATAACTCTTTTCCCTTCAAGGCTAAAACTCCTACATTTGGTGTCTCTACTTCTCACTCTCTTCTAAACCCTCCACAGCTTGGCTTCTGACTTCATCATTCAACTGAAATTGTCCTCTCCAAGTTGCCAATAATCTTTTCATTGTCAAACTTAATGGCCTTTTCTCAGTCCTTACACTTCTTGATCTCTATGTATCTAACCTAGCTGATCATCTCCTGCCTCCTCTCTTACAGTGCCTGGCCCATAGTAAGCATTTACTAAGTGATCCATCTATCTAGATTTTATTGATGGTCTCTCCTAGATCTTCTACTGTCAGTCCAACTGCTCCTTCCCAAGTCTTCCTGGCTGGTTTTTCATCGATATCACTCTCACTAACAGTGGGAGCCCCTCAAGGCTTTCTATGTTCTCTTGTCTTTGTGTTTACTTGGTGATTGAGTTAATTCCTATGGATTCAGTTATCATGTCTGACAATTCCCAGAGATTATCCAGCCCTAGTGCTTCTCCTGAACTACAGTCAACCCTGTCCATTTGCTTCTTGGACATTTACAACTAGGTTTCCCGTAGGCAACTCAAACTCAAAAGCTCCCAAAACAGAACTCCCCTGTCCCACCCCACCAAAAAACCTCTGCCCCCTCCTCCAAACACCCTTATTACTGTTGAAGGTACCACTAATCCTCCCTAGTCATGCAGCTGAAATCCTCATAGTCATCCTTGACTCCTTCAATTCAATGTCAGATCTTGTCTCCTGTGCCTTTACAGCATCACACATATGTGTCCCCCTCTTCCTATTCATGCTGCCGTAACTTGTTTGGACCCTCACCACCTCTCATCTGCACTCCTCCAACAGCCTTTTGCTTGACTTGTCAGACTCTTTATAGTCTGGTGCCGTCTCAGACCCTACTCCTCTCAAAATGCAATCTAACATGTGATGCTGGCCTGCCCTTCAAACACAGCACTCTATCTTCTGTTTTCATGCTGGCTTATGTCTGTACCTGGGACTTGTGTGCCCTTACACTTCCATATCTTGGTTCCACCAGCTTCCTCTCAGACTCAATTCAAAGCCCACCTTCTGTAGGAGAGTTTTCTAATCCCCTCAACTGCTAGTGCTTACTGTTATCTCTTCTGTGTGTCTTGTCTGTACCTAGTTATTTACACATGACTCCCCAAATTAGAATGTTAGCTCTTTGTGGGCAGGTTCTGTTTTTGACCATTCTTTGTAGCCCTAGCACTTTGCACAATGACAGTTACATATTAAGAGCTTAATACACGCTTGTTGACTGATCAGGCTTTTCTCTGTGGCCTAAATGGTCTTGGCCAATTCAAATTGGCCTTGCCCAATTCAAATACAACCTACTAACCCAGTTAAAATTAAGTGCCACCTTCTCCCTGAAAGCCTCCCCTGGCCACAGGAGCCAGTAATGACTCACCTCTTGTACGTGTCTGCAAACTCTTTTGGCATCCTTGTTTCCTGTGCTACTACTCAGCAATCCCTGAATCACAGGTTGCCTTACATTGTTATTTAAATTTCACATGTGCATGTCTTACCTCTTCAGACTAGACTATAAGCCCTGGATAGGATAAAACAAGTCTTACCTTTATTTTGTGCCTGCACATGCAACTAAGGTTTACCTTTGTAGAGGCTGGACAACATAAATCAAAGCCAATTAAGAGTTTATGACAGGTAGGACGGCTGAATGCTGGGCTTGGAATTAGAATGATGTGAGTGTCTCAGACTCTTTGCTTATCCCTCTTAATGCTAGAACCTTCCCCCTGTCGATTGCTCTACTTTCTCCTGTCTCTCTCTCTCTCTTGTTCAGAGTCATGTTTTGCTCACCACTGCACAAAGCAAGGACTGTCCTCTACCTCTCTTGTATCTTCCTGGCACATGGCAGGCAGTTAAAATGATGGGGTTAGACTCGATGGCCTCGAAGGTCTCTTCCAGCTCTAAATCTATGACTCTAAAATCAATGAATGTCCATGCACAAGCGTGAAACAATACCCTACAAAGTTTCTTTTTTCCTTTTCCACAATGCCCAGGAGTCCAACAATTGACTCTGCTCTATAGCAAGTATCACCACAGGACTTCATTTAAGGACTTAGCTAAGCACAAACATCCAAGCATTTCAGGAGCCTCCAACTCACCCTGCCTTTTACGCCTCCCATCTATACAACTCTATAGCTGAGTCAAACTGTACTACAACCACAGCTTGCCCTCACTTCCCTCTGGATATTCTTGCAGTCATCCTTTAAATCTGAAGGTATGTTCTTCTTACCTTTAGCTACTGAAATAGTTTTCTTTCTTAACAGTCCAGCTGAGATGCCACTTCCTCCAAGAAGTCTTCCCTGATCTACTCTCAAGGTCTACCACCCTACTTCCCCCAGGCTTTTGAGGTTTCTCTCCCTTCTCAAATTCTTCTAGATGAATGCATTTCTCCCAGTTCTGATAATACTCAATTCAACTGACATGTTTAAAATGCCTCTATTATGTGCTAGGCTCTGTGCTAAGCACGAGGAACAAACAAAAATAGTCCCTGTCCAGGAGGAGGTTAAAATCTAGGGGTGAGGGGCGAACACTGAAGAAGAGGAGATACATGTACACAAGTACTTCTCTACAAGTGATTTAGAGAGAACAAACAAAACCCTAAATCCATAGGAGCAAAATCCTAAGTTCATGCAAGCCTTGTACCAAACAGAAGGCTGAGGGGAGGACTTTAAGGATTATACTTACTTGTACACATTTTGTACCAGCCAGCAGAATGTTAAGCACTTTAAGGGCATGGAGTGTATCAGGTTTTGATTGTACTTTTCTAGAACTTACCCCAGAGCCTTGCCTGCTATAGATACTAAGGAAATAGTTCAATTGAGAACAATCGGACTAAAATGTTAAGTTAACACATCTCTCCCAGGTGAAAAGAAACCCAGAGTTAGTGTTAAGAGTTCTCAATAAACAAAGTGGCAAAAATTCAGTTTATACTTTACACATCCTCTAATTCTCACTTTTACCTGGGTCCTTGAACATATGAATCCAACAGCGCTTGCCATCCAATCAGCAACTTATGTAATGTTATTTACTATCATCCCAAGTTCCCTAGAGCTTGAATTGGAATTTAACATAATGTTCAGCTTTTGTGACCCCTTAATGTTATTCTACGTATTATCAAGTAAAGGGAATAAAAACTAAAGATACTCACCAAGAGTAACACACACTTGCAGTTTGCAGCTGCTGGGTTAGGTAAGTCGTACAGAGAATAAAGGCTGTGTGATCCTGACCCTCAGATTCCAGATTACATATGATGTCTAGCACTTCCTTGCAGTCCAATTTTGCAATCTATCAAAAATGAGATGGCTGAGTCAAAAAGAAAATGGTGACTTTCCTGAACAAGTTTGGCACAAAGTGAAGCTTCTTTATAACATTTACAACAAGTCCCAAATCTTTAGCTGGTTAGTAGGGCAAAATCCAACATAAGCTAATTCTTTGAGGCTTTTGGGCATGAACATGTTAGACAAGAAGGAAAAGGCTTCACGGGGCAGGCAGGGCATAGAGACACTACAAACAAGTTCCCCTCCACCACCTTTTCCCTTTTCCCAATGAAATAAAAGACCATAAATTTTTTTTTTTTTAGGTTGTTGGTTTGGTTTTGGATTTTGAAACCAGATCTGTGATTTTACTGGTACAGTGAACTCGTGGTGAGGAAAATCTCTCCAGCAATGCAGAATGACACCTGTTTTGTAACTGATAGCCTTAGCAAGTTGCCTGGGGTACTGAGAGATTAAAGGACTTGCCTGGGCCACATTCAGTATTAGATCAGAGGCAGAACTTGAAGCCAGGTGTTTCTGACTTCAAGGATGGCTTTCTACTCACTATACATCATAGCTGCCTCTCCAGGTAAATGGATTTTTAATATAGCTCTTGGATACTTGGAACAAATCACATTACGTCTGAAGAAGGTTCTTCTCATCTGAAGTTCCTTCTTTGTACTTTATGCAAAAGGTTACTGTGGTTACAAGCATATGAACAAAACACCTGGCCTACTGCTATTACGGCTGGCAGCTGAGCTAACCTGGGACCTTTTAGAAGCTGTTGCTTGGAGTACAAACAACAATAAGGCAATACCTCATTTACTTGGCATCACTGGGGAATGCAGTGTTCTGGGTAAGTCAAGTTTCCAGGTTATTAAATCTTAATCTCTTTAAATACTAAACCTCTTAAATTTTTAACTGTTTGTAATGAAAATCTTTCTAAAATTTATCTTTCTCTAGTAAAGAAAATGGTGAATGTAATTTATCTAAATGACTACTGCCACCCCTTAGTAATGACATATTTTTGCTAAAATATAGCCTCATTAGTATGTCTAAAGTACTAAGTCTGCAATATAAAACCAGTGATATTTATGCTTCCATTTCAAATATAAAGTACCCTGAACACTTACTTAAATTCACCTTACTTACTGATTCTTTCTAATGATTGAGGGGGTGTACCGTGTAGCAAGAAGACCTGACTACTTTGTAGTCAGATGATTTAGATGGTGCAGCATAAGGTAGTGTGGTATAATGGATAGAGCTCAGAGTCAGAAAAATCTGGGTTCTAGGTCCAGCTCTGACAAATACTGACTCTGTGCCCAATGACAGTAATGAAGCTTTTTATTCCTATCCTCCATCCCGACTCTCCAAGACTGTATGTGACAAGAGCAATCGCCAATCTGCAGAGGCAAAGGGATTTCTTCCCTGGGGAGTTCCCTACACAAATGAAATCACAGGCAATATGGCACAGTGGAAAACAGCACTGGTTCCAGAGTCAAAGGACCCAAGTTTATACCCTACCTCTGTTTTTGCCTACCTGTGTGAACCTGGGCAATTCACCAAACCTTTGTGGGCCGCAAAGTCCTCATCTATAAAATGAGGAGTTTGGCTCTTCTCACTGTGAATCTGTGATCTATCATGTGGGCCCAAATCCCAGCCATGAGACCTTGGGCAATCACTGAACTTGCTGGACTGTATAGGAGCTGGCCTTACTTACCTCACAAAGCTGCTGTGATAAGGCATTTTCATCAAATGCCTGCAAGGTACATAGTAGGCCCCTTAATAAATACTTGATTGACTGATGAGATAGTTGATATGGTAGTACTTTGTAAAGTCTAAAGAGCTATGTCAATGGAATGGCTGTCATGGTCCTAGAGATGAGTCATTTCCTCAGGCTCTGGACTTGCCATTGCACTCATTTCTCCCCCACTGGTGGGACAGTCTAGTCAGTATCCTGCTATCTGGCCCTCACTGGGGCCCCTAGGTTTTCCACACTGCCCACTCCACAAGGCTACTAGGTCTGCTTCTTATCCTTTGTTTTTTTTCATTCCCCACTCCTTTTTGGTGGTGGTTGTTGTTTTTTTTTTTAAAGGCTGCTCAAAGGTTATTAGTTTCTCTTAAGTACAATGTAAAGTCACTAATGCTGTTGCAAAGCATCCGGGTAGATGACTTGGAGGGTTAAAAAAAAAAAAGTGTGATTTCTTATCTTTTTAATTTCTGGTGTGTTTTTTTTTTCCTTTAAAAAACCCCACAATGCAACAACTACTACTACCCTTAAGTAACTTGCCACCTCATCTGAGTGTGTAGGTTGGAAGGCAAAGGGCAGGGTAGGGTAGGAACTCTGACTCTAAGTGCCCATCCAAATTGAGGAGGCCCAGCCCTGATTCTGCTGTCCTCATGGCCAGGAGATCATGCCAGGAGTCACCTAGCAAGTTCCTAAGTACTCTAGGGATTCCAACACAATTGGCATGAAGGGATGACTTAAAGTCCCCTTAATGGCCAGGTTCTAACTCTGGATGCTTGGGATTTTGGGGGATCTCTAGACACTCCCACAGAAGCTGCTCCTGAAAGTGGGTCCCAGATGCCTTGGGCTCTTGCTACAAGTAAATAGCTACAACATGCTTATTCTTGCTTCTCGTGATGATGCCACCCTTAGTGACAATTTTTATGCAGCCCCTGTCAGGTAGTAGACTTCGATTAATGATGTGAGGAAAACTTTATTGCATTGTTTGAACCTATCCCTGCAGGGCTGAGAGACCAGATTTGTTGCTTACAGACCAGATTTGCTTAATGCTTAAAACAGGACATCCAGGTTATGTTGACCACCGAAACCTTCCAAGGGATCCAAAAACTGATGCAAGGAATCTCCAATTTCCTTCCAATTTAATTGATCTATGTGTCTTATCTGTAAGCTGCCTTCATGCCAGCCAGTCAGACAACTATTTCCTTGGCTCCTGTTTGAATTCTATATAATGTGTAATTCATAGAGGATCAGGAGTGGGTCACCCCCTTTTTGCTCTCCCCTCTGTGGGATGACAAATTTCTAAAACTTTTTTCAGTTCTGGGTCTGTTCTCAACCAACAATAATTGATCACAAGTGACTTGGCTGAGGGGAACAAGCCATTTTAAAAACTATAGTCCTATCCCTGCTCTCTGGTTAAAACACAAGAAAGGAAAGTTGTCTGGTCAAAAACAGATTCTTAATCTGAAAGGTACTTACTTTTCAAAAGTTAAATCAAAATGGTCCTAGATTTAAGTGAGAAAGTATATGGAGTATTGTGATAACTTTCTGATGGGCTCTGAAATCTTACTGAAGATTTTTGGTTGTAAGAAATACAAGCACAGGATGATAAAGAGTATGAGCAGTGTCACAATATCTTACATTTTGAATGGTGTCTTTTACTTCTGAAAGTACAAATATAAATATTAAATCACTTCATCTTTGCAATAAACTTGCAAGGCAGCATTGTGTAGTGGACCAGCCTTGGAAACAGGAAGACCTGGGTTTGAGTCCCACCTGATACATTTCGGCTGTGTGATCTTGGGCAAGTCCTGTAACCTCTCAGGTCCCAGGCAACTCTCTACAACTAAGATGCAGAGTAGCTGCTAAACTGTATTGGAAAGAGAGAGTTTCCTTACATGGGAGCTCCCTACATCAATAAAATCATGAATCTGGAGCAAAAAATTTAAGACAAAAACTTGTAGATGGGTATCGTCCAGTTTAAAAACAGTGCCTGATGAAAACACTAACAAAGTTAAAACAATCAAACTGGGTGGCACCTCAAAGGGAAAGAGCCATTCTCAAGATCTACTGACCTAATCTGTAAAATTCCTCCGTATCATGGATGAGAGAACTCAAACACTGGGGTGGTTATTTAACTTGCCCAAAGTCACAGCGCTAGTCAGTGGCAGACCCAGGTCTTCTGACTTCTAACCAGTGCTCACTCTATATGACCTTTAAAATATGTTGCTATAATCAAATTTAACCAAATCCAAGTGAAGAAGTTTAAATTCACAAAGCTAACCATGCGGCAGGAGTGCAAAAATCTTTTCAATCAAGGGCAACACATAAAAGGAAGGAAGCAGCATTTGAGTTTTGAAACCCAAAGACAATGAAGGCTCAATTTAGCTGCCAGAGACAGAATATGCTACACCATGAAGATGTCATTTTAGTGAGATTCTTGCACAATCAAGCCCTCTGGATCAAATCTATGGCTGGATGGACTAGGAAGATTAAAAGCAGTGCCCACCAAATACTGGCCAAAGAATGAAATGGAGACTACCATGCTAGGACAAACAGCTGTTCCACAGCAAACCCAGCCAACACTTCATGCAGGGAGAAAGCCAGAGTTCAGAAAGCTGACAGGGGCTACAATACAACAGCTCAAAGATGGTTTACTAGAACATTATTAAGATGTTTGAGAACACCAAGAAAAAGAGTTGTGGACTGAAATCTGAATTAGCCCACCACATGTTGCCAAATGGTTACAAGGAACCATAATTTTCAGTCAAAGAACATCTGACAGACTAATTTCAACATTACAACAGTTTCACAACATGAAGGTGGGAATTTGGACATAATGGATTAATGACATTGCTGAGAAATGGTGTTGGTTGGGCCTGTTTTTTATGCAGGGTATAACTGCATCCTATTGGTCCGAATATAGGCTGCCCCAAACCACACGCCACAGCCCTAAAATGAAATCTTTCATAAAGAAGAAAATGTGTTAGTAAAATTATTTCCCCACTACTAATTCATTTTGGAGAATAGTACTAAGATCCCCAAACTTCACCACATGTTTTTGTGGCTGATTGAGAACACCACAGACAGGTTGTTCTTATTTGCTGTTACCCCACTCCCAGGGCAGCCCCTTGGCCAGTTTCAAAGCTTAAAAACACCATTCCTCTATGGGATCCATTCCCTGGTCTACTTGACTGTTCTGTGATACTGACCTCCACACTAAAACACCTCAGCAACAGCTCTGGGGTCATCCATCCACCTCATTATACTGAAGGCCAGGCAAGGGG